TAATTGCGTGCGGTGTCCGCACAGAATAAGAACCCGTGGGATTGCCAGTTGTTGCAACCACTATTCCTACAAGAAGGTAATTACAATTTTTTCTCTTTAGCTTTCAAGTTAACTTACAACAGCTAAAATGAGAAGAATAATGGTTAGAGTCTATGGCCAATCCTCTACATGTCAAGTAGATAGGACGGGACAAGAATTGTTCACGGTTCAATCTTTTAAGTGCAATGGGCTTAGTCTATCCGGTTAAGTTCATGATTGTCCAAACTCCAATGCCAGATCCCTTCTATACATAGAGAGAGTCAATAGGGTTTATTGCCCAACATTGGTCCAGGAGCTCGACTTTTTACATTGGAAGGGCAGAATTTATATAAGCCATAACTTAGTGCTTTGCAAAGTCTGATGCTTTATATTCGAGTAATAGAGTTAACACAATCAAAGAAAAAAAATTGCTATACTAACTTCACGAGAATGGGCAAATATTGAATTTTATTGGCATTGAAAATAGAGAACTTACAAGCATTAGATAATTGAAGCATTTACATACATACCACCCAAGTCCTATGTATTTACATATCTAACAACTAAACTTTAAAATTTACATTTATACCACCAAAATATTTCATATCACATTAAAAAATACCACCTTTTTAACTTCTAAAAGGTGAAATACACATTTTCATGCATAGGTAAGGTTTTATGTATGTAAAAATTGATGTTTAGGTGTTAGAGATGTAAATAAATTGAGTGGTATGTATGTATATCTTCCTTTATCAAAACCAGGTTCGTTAAATATGAAGAAGCTTCATGCTGTTATTAATCATCTTAAAATACTTTATAACTTCCTTAACCTTCTTGATAAAATTGGGCAATCAAATTTTCCTACCCTAGCAATATTCTTCTGGTCAATGATGTTTATATATTTACCTTGGCTTGATTCTTTACAAGCAAACAGCCAGCGTCAATAGAACCTTTGCACAATCATGCTATAAAAACTTAAATAGGCATGTGTTTTTCTCTCCTTGCCTATATGGCTCGGTTATAACTCCCAACTGATGAGCCTTCCTAGTCCTACTCTAGCTTGTTACGAGAACTAAATCTACTATCCTGTTCTCAGCTACTATATTGATGGCATAGTGCTTATTATTCTTATCCAACTCTCTTTTACAAGCATTAACATACCATACAATTCTTATGTATTTACATATCTAACACCTAAATTTTGATATTTACACTTATAACATTTTGATGTCATAAACCCATGCATTTCACTTTTAAAAAGTTATTAATGGTGGAATTTTTTATATGATGTTGAAATTTTGTGTACTATATGAAGGTTTAGGTGTTAGATATGTAAATACATAAGAATTGAGTGGTAGGTATGTAAATGCCACTAAATATTTCATTATAGTTTTTTTGCTTTTTGAATTTGCATTCTTAATTTTCATTTGGTTCTATTGTTTCTTTACTCATAACCATCTAATGTCTGTCTGTATACTAAGGCAATAACAGCCAATTATGCCAAACCAAATTTGCAGCCAGGACAGTAGACTTCCCCTGCTGAGTTTGAAATCACAGATTCTTGTCATCCTATTGATTCTGGCAAGGAAAACACACTTTCAGTCCAAGTCATGAGATGGAGTGATGGTTCTTATTTAGAGGATCAGGATCATTGGCGGCTATCTGGAATTCATCGCGATGTCCTTCTTATAGCAAAGCCCAGGGTTGTGTCATTTCTTGTGTACTTTATTCTAAAAGCTAAAGGCCGATTGGGATCACTTTTGGTTTTTATGTTTTGCCTTTTATTTTTGATTTGTTTCGTTTATGATTTTACTTAATATGAAACATGCTTGGTATATGGTTAGTTATTTTTAGAAGAAAGATTTACATACAGACCACTTAATTCCTATGTATTTATATGTCTGACACTTAAATTTCAATTTTTATATATATGCCAATTTGTCTATGCATGAAAAATTATATTTCACCTTTTAAATGTTAAAATAGCGATATATTTGGATGGTATACATATATAAAGTAAACTTTAGGTGTTAGGTATGTAAATACATAAGATCTGGTTGGATCTATGTAAATGCCCTTTCATAAAAACACTCAAAATTAATTTTTTGGCGTTTTGAGTATTTTTTTTTTTAAATAAAAATAAAGCATGCAAAAAATGAATTAATTAAACACATTTTTCAAGTAAAGTAAAAAAAAAAAAAAAAAAAAAAAAAAAAAAAAAAAAAAAAAAGGGGCCCCAAAGAAGCCCTAGGATTGTAGCCTTATTTTCAATAGCTGACAATACCCTTCGCTTTTTATTATGATAAGTAATGCTCTAGTATTTCTTGAATTTTTTAGTGAAATTCTCCTCCATTATTTGTGCAGCTACGTCACACTAGTTCTATGCTCTTATAAACTTTCATTTTGCTTCGACACCCATCATATTCATGGTCAAGCTGAACCTATTCTTTTTTTTTCCTTCTTTTTTTTTTTAAATTGCAGCTGTTTATTGCAGACTACTTTTTCAAATCAAGTTTAGATGAAAATTTTTTTGAAGTCGATATCCAGGTACTTTGTTTTGCTTAAAACAATTATCGTGTAACCCGAAGCATGCTTATTCATATATGTAGTATTTTCTTTCTTGTTATAATGTTTATACTGTGCTTCTTTACTGCTTTATACAAATTCATGATCTTGATTACATCAATTAGTGTAAATTTTAGAAGATCCATTTCATCTGCATAGAAGTGCATTACCAATCGCCAGCTCTAATGAGATATGCTGAGAGCCGATATCAGGTTAATTTCGAAGGCATAACTTTTGCTAAAATTTATTAAAATTCTAATATTAATTTTAATTGCCAGTATTACGCCATTCCTCAGAAGTAACTTGCCAAAAACCAATCAGATTATGACGAGGAACGAAGGTTTGCTAAGTCATCACCAATAAGTAAAGTGCCATCTTAGTTTAATTGTGATAAAAAAGTGGATGAGGATTGGCTAGGATTAGAGTATTCTAAGTAGGTGTCAAGTGTCAAAATAGTCCACTAATTATTTACATGGGGTCATTTTAGTCCCAGAGTGTATAAAAGTGCCAAATTAGTTCGCAAATTTTTTAAATTGGGGCTGAAGTGGAGTCCAGGGACTCATTTGACACTTTCATAGACTATGGGATTAACAAAGAGTTGGGGAACCATTTTGACACTTTTCTCTTTCAACATTTGTTGCTCAATAACTTAACATTATTGTGATTAAAAGTGGGCATGGATTGAGTAGATCTAAAATTAAGTTTAAATATGCTATATGAAATTTGGGGATTTTGATTGCTATGATAATAGAATTAGTAGACACTAAAAGACACTATATGTTTATGTTTGCAAGGAAGTAAATGCAAACCTAATATTAAACTGACTAGCTACCCACTCATAAGATTGATGGACTCTATGAAAAGTCACAAAGTTCAATGATTTCATTGTAGTATGTCGATGATTTTATTGCAAAATGGCATATTCTACCAAAACCCCTTAAGCCCTTCATTGAAACTATTCGGTGCTTGCCTTTTGATATTGTTCCATTGCATATTGAGGTTGAGATACTTAATGTTATGATCCTAAGTTTAAGGAGCCTTTAATCAATCTTGTTATTGAGAAAATGGATACATGACGTTCCATGTTATCATATGCTGTTTGCTCCAAAGTCCAAAGTTCACATAGGTTAACTTTGCTTTTGTTCTCGATTTATCTTGAATGTCAATGATCATTTCATACTCGGGCCAATTTTTAGCGTGGATCGTGCTCAAATTAAAATCAATGATCTGATTGACAGGGTAGGCATAATGCAGATCAAAATTGAATTGAGTTGTGTTTAGATCTGCTTAAGCTTTGTCAAGATTGCTAAAATGTATATGCATTTATGTATGAAATCTTAAAACACATATTCATGTATGTGTTTAAATTTAAATTAATATATACACGCATGTGTACATTTATTATGAATGGACATATGAATAAGTGTATGTATATATAATGGATGAATAAATTACTTGAGGAGATCGGATCTAATGAATTTGAGCTAATCTTTGGTGAGTATATGGTTACCTTTACAAGCGATTTTTTTTTTTCCATGTCGTGGATACTTGCTTCTATTCCTGTCCCTTTTTGTCAAATGTGATTTCTGATTTTTCATTTGTTTTCTTATGTTTAATATAGGAAGAATAATAGTTTGTATGATTCCTCTGGCATTTTGATCTGTTGTATTCCTTGGGTATTTCAATGCTGGAAAATAGTGATGACTCATAAATTCCTTGGAGTTTATGATATTGTTTTCTATTTGGTTTTCGGGGAATTGGCTTAGGGTTCAGTTCTGGGCTCTCTTTATGTCTCTTCTATTGGTGTAATGTTCATAACTTATGTTTCTTAGTTCTATTTGCTATTGTTATTCATCGTTTTATTGCTTGTGCTGGGCTTGGAGATTGCTGCTGCGCTCTGGCAATACATATTTGTTGGTTTGTTCATACCTAGCATAATCTGGATTTGGGAAGCTCTAACCATTAACCTTGTGAGCTTTATTGGTCAATCTATTGTGGCTGCAGCTACGTTGTTTCTTGCTCTTACTATCTATTTGTCACAATTTTGATGTTGGGTCTGCCCTCAAATTCTACAGTTTATTGGCCGTGGACGGTTTATATGACTCGCCGCCTCTTTAATTTTGTTCTACTCATCATCCATTGTTGGTGCTTTCTGTGTTTTGTCCTTATCATTTGTTTAATCTTCAATTTTGTTCAACTCATTATAAGTATTATGACTAGTATTATATATAAGTACTAAAAAATACTTACTATATAAATATTATCTCTTGACCCCTCTCAATTGTATTTAAGATTCCAATAGATACGATTAAAATAATTCTTTTTAGATCAAATTGACGATCACACTTAATTTTTTTAAAAATGCATAATTAGTCATTAAGTGTCTCGATGATTTCGGATCATTACAATATCTATTTTAATTTGAGAAAGCAATAAACAATTCAACTTTATACATAGAAAAGCAATTTCAGCGTCAGCATCATGGTTTCTTTGTTCAACATGTGTACCCTGTTCAAATCATTAGGAGGCTCTGTTATTCTTAATTTTAACTTATCATCTTAATTTTTATTAGTAGTGGTTATTTATTTCTCTGAACTCAATTAAATGAACTGATTGCTATTAATTACTGCTAAAACGTTATTTCAGGTTGAGGTCAAACTTGATGGTTTGTCAAAATATTCAGAGGAGACTAATTTTGCAAATTTTACGATAGAGGCAGCATTGTATGATAACGCAGGGTATAGTTCTGTGGATTCTGACGGAGTCTTCGATCTAAGTTCTTATGAAATGATTCATATGGCGCTTGAATCACCTGCTGTTGATATTCATGGTTTTCATGGATATTTACTTACTGGGAAATTCAAAGAGCCAAAACTTTGGACGAGTGAACATGTGAGTAATATTTAATTCTGCATTCTAGATTACCATGTTGTCGGTTTTGTACATGGTGAATTTCTTAAGCAATGTTGTTTTGCTTTAAGGACCTAATTGTTAATGCTATAGGTTTGGCCCATGTTGATCGTGAATTAAAAGAAGATAGAAAAGAAAGAAAACAAAAAATAAATAAATTAATTAATTATCTACTTACCCGCTCCTGCCAAAGACTCCCACTCGGATAGGTAACCGTTCTCTCATTGGCTTCTCATTTACAAAGAGACAAACCAAACTCCGGCAGTCTCATTCACATGTTCTCTCCGTTGTTCCCTCTCGTTCGTTCTATCCACTCAAAGTCGCACGAAATCCTAAAGAGGTTTGCACTCAATGTTCCTTTTCTACTTCGTCTATCTCTTATTGTTCAAAATAGCAAACAACTTTTTCTCTCCTTTTGATTCCGTCCACTCCTTCAAACGTTGATCTTTCCCGCGTCGTAGTCTTCCTCACCATTCTTCTTCATTGTTTGCACACCATCAATGCCCTCGCCTTCTTCCTCCTATTAGCATGCCACACTTCTCTCGTCACACACGAAACCACGTTGTTTCTTCCTCCCTGCCTCATGCGTGACCCCAAAGCCGACTCCCTTTTTGCTTTCAATCTCTTCGCGATACAACCTAAAACTAAAGGGTCAAACCAATCCTTCTCCGTGTTTCTTACCTGATAGTGCTCCTTCACGATCCAAAAGCACACAGGATCTCTATTGTTGCGATCCTCCTAAGCCATATTCCTCCTTCCCTGTTCGCACGAACCGGACGCCTTTGCCCTAGCCCTCACACCCTGGCTGCTCCCTTCCAACCTTCGACCATTCCTTTTTGTTGTTACGATCCAATTCTCCCCGCCATTCCTCTTTTTTCTTTCCAATCGCACAAAACTTTCATTCTTCTCCCTTGAACACATCGAAGTCGCCACTTCTTCACGGTCCGGAGTCACTTCCTCATGATCCAGAGTCGCTTCCTCGCGATCTAGGGCCACTCGTTCGTTTCCCCCTGCCCTAGAGCCTGAGCTTCTCTTTATGGCCATCCTTCCTATATTAAACTGAACCCATTTTAAAATAGCCCGAAATTCCCTTGCTTTTCTGTTCGAGCTCACGGAGATCACAATTACTAAAGAGGCTCCCCGTAAGAGAATCTTGTTCTCAAAAGGTTGGCCAATTTTGAATCTTCAGCCTTAAAAAGAACTGTCATAGGCAGAAAGTTTCTCTGACACCTATCGATGCATCCACTTTGTTCGTCGAACCTTACGTACCAAGGCATGATGTTGAGCTTCCTCATCTGGAGGAAAGTTGTCAAGAAGACAGACGAAAAAGAAACATAGACAAAATGACTCAACAATTACAACTGGAGCAAGCTGCAGATCAACGGATTCGACAGCCAAAAGCGAGTATTCTGACCCTTAACAAATTTAATAACTTAAATTGGGTCAAAAAGAATAGCTCTACTGGTTAAGTAAAACATTCTTTTTGGAACCAATGACATCAACCTCTTGTTGAAAAAAAGAGGCAACCTGAAACTTTATATGCCCGAACTCATAAAGTCATGAAGCTTGTTAAACAAAAAAGTTTAATGAAAAGTAAGCATAAAAGATTTGTTGTAGCTTAGACAAATAAATTTAACCAAGCTCTGCTTGGTAAATATCAGAGCGTGACATCTGGATTGCAATCACAAGAATCCACTGCCGAAAGGTCCTGATAGAAAAGTAAACAAATTTGGAGACCCAAACCTCGAGAAGAGAAAAGTACGAGAGAAGTAAATGGTGTGAAATTAGTGTGTGCTCCCGGAGATTTGCTTTTGATTATACACAATACGAACGGGTCCCCAAGCGACATTCCAATGAGGAACTTCACGATGGTCGACACCCTAAAGAGCCCTCTAGGAGATCCCATCGTCCAGTTACATCACTCATATCAAAACAAGAATCTTAGGCTGAAGAATATCATGAGGGTCGACACCCTGAAGAATCCTCCAAGGGATTCCATCGTCGGACCAGTCCGTCCTTGAGAAAGTAACGAAATTTTGATTGTAGTCCTCCAATGAAAGAGTTATTCACTTTAAATGTTGAACCAGAGATTGATTGAAGTCGATGCTCAGAAATTTGAGTTCAAGAAGAATATCAAGAAGGCTATCAAGAGGTCATGGAAGTCGAGATAGTATGTATGGTAGATCATGTTAATGACCAACTCGACACTCGACATTATCGACAATGACGTCGTACCACTATTCGAGAGGAACTCCATGAAAAGCAAGTAGCATGTGAGCATAGTTCCTCTTCAAGTGATGAGCAAGAAACAAGACGTAAAGAAGAAGAAAGAGAAAAAGAAGGGCCAATATTCATTACAACTGCCGCACTTATTATACAACAAAAGCAAATATGTCGTCAATTAAGAGCCAAGGATAAAAAAAATAACTCAGTTCAACAGTAAAATGAATGAAATGATGATGCAGATGATTGCCATGATAGAGTTGATGCAAAGAAATGTTACAGTGGGCCCTACACTTGCTCTGTCAAAACCCAGCGCTGCCGCTAACCCCGCTATCAAAACCCAGTGCGACAAGATTCAGGTGTAGAGTTATCCCTAAAGAGAGAAATGAGATGAATCAGGTGGACCGTTAGCTTACACCTCAAAATGTTGTCAGTACGTCTGAGCCTGTGATCACATCATTCTACTTTTGTCGGCAGAGCACCCTTTCAACTTCCGTCGGCAGCGCTAGAGATCACACGAGTCCTTACTAGCAAAGCAACGTCAGTGGGGTCAGTTCCAGTGACGACAGAGGATGAGAGGACTAAGACATTGATGCCAACACGGGACAAATATGTCATAGAAGATGTCAGGGCCTCATAGTTGACACCATACCACTAGCTCCACTACGGGATGTGAAGATGCAGGCTACTCTCACGGTACATCGAACTGACCAGACTGTGGGTTGCCTGGGGAGAATCCAGCAGTATAAGCATGGGCCAAAATCTTAGGACAGCAGATCGATTGGGACCTGAGTGCCCAAGTAGTGCCAACTTCTTTGATGCTTTGGCCGCCAATGCAGTCGGCAGTGGGCCTAGATGCAGCCAGGATTACACACAAGGAACCAGAAGCTTCGACGACTGAGGTCGGAGCTTCCCCAACCTCGGGAAACTGACGCAAGTGCGAACGTTTCTTGCACAAGGGCGGGAAACAAGCCATCCAAGCACTACTGAGGCAACCGGTTCGGGTTGCAGCAGGAGTTGAGCGGTATTTCCTTTCTTCAATGTGTCCTGCTCGATCGAGCGACTTTTTAGGAAGGGAAGCAATGTCGCTAACCCTTCTCCTCCATTTTTCTATCCTTTCTTGCTTGAAGTTTATTTATATGTTTTTTAGTGAGAGTTAGGTTTAGTCTGGGCTGTTTTTGCTTTTAGATTTCTTGTGTGGAGTCCTTTTCCCTTTTGCATAGTTGTATCCGAGGAGGTGGTGGTATTTTGGCTATATCTTAGTTCGAGGTGGTGATTTATTTTCCCTTCTCCTTTTGCTCCCCTCTTCCCAACCACTGGCCTCCCCTTCCTCATTGCAACACTTAGCTATCCTTTCACTAGCAGTATAACCTTGTTGCTCCAGTCCCCAACCTTCCTCCGACAACAGCCGCCACTTTCCTGCACTAGATTCGACTGTCCAACCGCTCCCCCTTTGTCCCATTTTCCCTACTGGGCTCCCAAATTACCTCCTAACCCTCCGTAACCAACATCGTAACCAGCACCCTTACCCATACATTCACCTCGTAGTCGACGCTACTCTGACCTCAGATCTTCTTTTTTAGTCCTAGTCGGTGTCCGTTTGTGTCGGTTTGTAACACCCATTTCAATATTAAATAAAGTTTATTTTTGTGTTTTCACTATTTTTTTCTACTAATTACAATATCACAATCATTCAAATTCATATGAACATGCATTCCACTACTTTTGAATCTTTAAATAATGAACAATTTTATCATGCAATTAAAGGTTTTGCTTGCATATTTACTTGTCAGATACAATATTCCAAGTTACATATTTTATTTTCTCAAAACTCGCTCCATTTAAAAAATTGGCAAACACATTATCAAATTTTCTTACTGGAAATTTGTATATATATTCCTGAAATTTGTTGCATCCTTGAGTCTCTTCAATGTCCAAATTTCGCGTTGACATCAGATTTTTTTTTTTTTTTTTGGTTCCATTTATGTTGTCCAATGTATTTATGCTCATCAGTGCATCAATCATATATATGGTTGTCATGTTATATATATATTTTTTAAGGAAACTCATAGGTAATTTTATTGCTCAAAAGTAAAGTTACATGTTTTTAGGAGATTGAATCCCACTACAAATCAAAAAAAATCCCACTACAAATCAAAAAACACTACAAATCAAAAAATTATAATACTCACTCCTAGGGTTTCGACCTCCAGGTGTACAAACTCACCCATAAAAAGTCTCCAAAACAGATACAAATATACCCCAAAAAGACTTCAAAATAAAAGAAATAGCTAAACCCAAACAAAAAAGAAGATAAAGAAAAACAACAATAAACAAACATCCCATCTTAGGAAAAAGCTATAAGGTATGGCATATTGAGATTGTCCTCCATTAGGGGGCAGCTTAAGATCAGAACTAGGCTTGGTCTTCAGGATTATAGCCTTAGTATGTGTAGTAGCTTTGGCAAGGAAATTTGCTGGTCTATTAGTTTCGTAGCTCCATGTGATGACAATATTTGCTGAAAGTTGCTTATTCCTGCATAAATCAACACTCAAATACCAAGGAGGTTCTTTATCATTAGCCAATATGTCCAACAGAATAGTTGAATCCATTTCAATTTCCAAGAATCTCCAATTCATTTTAGCCGCAACATATAAGGCCAACCAAACTACATATAATTTTGTAGATAAAGTACTAACAACCATACAAGGTGAAGAAAACAAGCATAATAGTTTACCATAATGGGACCTGTAAACCCC